TTAACAAATGATTAACTTTGTGCATAAAAATCAAAGAGTTGTCTGGGAATAAAGCCTTGAACTGATCCAAGTTTAAAGGTGTAAAATAAAAAGCGGGGAAATAGAAAGCAGGGTTCCCAAAAGAGTTTTCTCCCAAATGACTTGAAGAAAACTCCTGCCAACCAAACATTACTATGTTTTAAGTCAGATAACTAAATGTGTAACTGTTAATACTGAAACTGCTCATTTCGATCATTACTGATGAGGAAATAATTGATGCAATTTATATGAAAAAAGTTATACGTTTTTCCCTTCATCCACTCAGCACCCAAAGAACTGTACGCCTTCACTTATATATTCCGACTCTTTAGACCTAATTAATTACATTTAACCTTGATTAAATATATCATTTTAAAAACAGCTAAATCTGGTATTAAAACCACATATTTATTCACAGGCTGCAGATGCAGGTTAGTTCTCACAAGCCCAGAAAAACTGAAATAAGGACACTTCAAGAAAAAAGAATTTCCTTTAGAAAATATTTATTTAAAAAAGGAACATTTAAGGAAAAATAACAGTTTAAAGTGTTACACTGACAGCAAAAAAGATCAATATGCATTTGGCTCAAACTCCAAATTAAGCAATGATCTCGCAAACTCATTGAATTTTACATTTCTAGTGACTGAGACTCAATGTATTTATTATGACCAGAAAACAAAACCCACATTTTAATGGATCAGATCTCAGTGATCCTGCCAGCCTGCAGGGAGGACACAGCAAAGCCATTTCTGGATGTGAAGATCAAGCTGGTGTGGAGGAAGGTCCTTTAGTTGATGATCAGTACGTCGTTCTGGATCTCGTGGCTCAGCTGGGTTTGGAGGTCACTCAGCTTCTTCTTCAGGACAGCCAGCGCTGACATGACAATGGTCTCTGGCCGCAGGGAGCCGCATGACTCCACGTTGTAATAGAACCTGTGCAGGGAGAAACGTGAGCCGAGCTGCGTGCAAAGTTTCCTTATAAAAGTCAAAGTCATTCAACTTCAGAATTTAGTCTGAAACTTCCTGGATTGCATTCAGAGCCTAAAACACATGCACGGTACTGAACGTGCTAATCTTTGCTTGTGTCTGGAGTTCATTTCAAGCTCGTTTTGGTAGACCAAGCAAAAATAAGAGAAGGTAAGCGATCACAGCCATCTCATGCTTCTTTATTGACAGTAGATTCTGGCCATCTCCAAAAGCCTGTGTATTGATGTCTTTGTGAATATTTAGGGTGGAAATATGCAACACTCCTCATAGGCTTGCCTCAGGACATTTTCATGCAGTGGGAAACACTAGTGTGAATGTTCGATTCAAATAATTCAGGAAACTTTTGTTTGGTTTCAGGGATCAAAACAGACCTAGATCCTTCTGGCTAAGGTCAGGTAATGCAAATCCCAGTGGGCAGAATAATAAAGATGAGAAAACATCATGAAGCTCTTTGCTAACCGTTCCGGTTTCCCGTTGGGGTCGTAAGGGGCCTGAAACTCGTCCTCTTCGATCTCTGAGTACTCGCTCTTCGGCCTGGAAATCAGTGCATTGGGTGTCAGTATTTTTATGATAATTATTCGTTAACAATGTAGTTTTTAGATGAGCCCAACTGGGAGGAAAACCTACCACTCCTCAGGTCGTGGATAAACTGTGTGTCTCAGTGCATTGTCGGGGTCATACTCGAAGGAGACCCCCGCTGTTGGGTTCCACTTGGCGTGTTCCTTCCCAAAACCTTTCTTAGCGTAAGCTCTGAGCCGAAGTTCCTGACCTTTACGGAGCTTCACCAGCAAAATGTCTGCGTGGTATCAGAGCACAAGAAACATTTATGAAGTGATGTGAAAACAGACACCAGGCAGAGACCTCAGCAGTCGGTATGTACTCGTGAATACAGCTTTACCATCTTGCTCGACGTAGTCGTTGGGATCGTTGTCTCGACTCCTGGAAGTCACCTAGAAAACCACAGTGCACCACAGTCAACTTCACCTCTGCTTCCAGTCAACTAACGATCGTAGAAAAAGGAGAAAAGCCTCACCGGGATGACTCTGGGGTTGTTAGACAACAGGTCACGCGAGGTCACGTGACGCGTCTGGTCCTCGTTACATCGAACATCCAGGGTGAGCTCCACAGAGCACTCCTGACAGAAATCCTCACAGGTGCAGTCCTGCAGGAGAATTTGACGTTGTGGTGTTAAAGCCGGCGCCCGCATTCAAAAGTTAGGAAGCTCTTGGCTTTGTTCATAATCTGATATCATGTATCGTTCACACCAGGGAACCATCAGGTTAATGACCAGTCTGAGTCTGTTTATGTTGTCACAGGCAGCTGACAAATCGTGTGTAGAAACCACAAATGTCTGAAAATTATGAACAGCATCTCTGAGTCTCACGAGCAGGAATGGCACTCTAATCTGGCAGGAGGAGTTTTTGCAGGAAACAAGAGAGAGGTGTCCCCTGAACAGCAAGCGTGGCAACACAGATAAGCTTTTAAAAATACGTTGGAGAAACAAGGATAAACTGAAACTGTGGTTGGCCGTGCTACAAATGTCTGCTTACCCTGGAATACTGCATTTTGTCCACGATGTCGTCGCTGGTGAGTGGTATGAGCCCTGAAGATACAGGAAACACTCAGGTTTTTACAGCAGCCTTCTTTGATCTCTCGCACTGCCACAGGTATTACACACGCTCTCATACATACCCACTCTGTGGGCGATAAACTCATCGTGCAGTACAGACGAATTGGCATCGATCTGGATCCAGTCGATGGCTGGAAATGAAGCAGTGCAGTGCAAGTCAGTCATTTAGGCTCGCTGAGGTGGGTTTGATACTGAGCGCTTTCCCCAGAGTTCTGGTGAAGCTACACAACTTTATCCAACACAATATCTGTATTGTTTCGCTCTCCATGTAGTAACAGCAGCTGAGACTTGACTGCTTACTTATAGAACTTACTTATATAACTGTACAGAGGACCCCACCAGAACTTGGCGATGTTAAGCAACGACACACACACACAAAGCTACTGTACCTATTGTAGGAACCTCCGACATAAAGACACGGCGGAGGGAGTTTGCGACCCTGAAAAAGAGAAGAAGAAAAAAAAAAAATGGTTTCAGATGAATAACACACCGTTAAAGTCCCCCTTAAACTCCAGACTGTGCTTTCAGGTTTTTATCAGGTGTGTGCTTCACAGAACGAGTTCTAATAGTCCAAGATCACCTGAAATCTGCAACTGAGAGGGCTGAATTATACAAACATTTAAAAGGGCTTCCAGTGACGAACGATACCAAACTATTACTGATGCTGATTACTGATCAAAGGTTTTTTTTGTTTTTTAAATCAAAGAGGCATTCCTTAGTCATAACATCAGCAAACTCTGTATTTTCAGATTTTGGACTGTTCAGACATTAAAAAAAATTGCACTCCACATTTTCACGTTGTGATGTCACAGAGGCGTTAAGATTTTTATCTGGAATGACTATAACGGACAAGCTTAGAAGTGATGGATAGCTAGATTTGAATTATGAGGGACATTGAAGACTGAGTAATATGGAGACAAAGTTAGAGAGGGAAAGCTGATCTGCTGTGGCCAAACAGTCACTGAAGTGAGAAAATAATCAGGAGACTAATTAAAGAAAGGAAATATTCTTCTAGCAAGAAACAGCTGATTTTTTTTTATGATTGATTGCCTAATCAATGAAATGTTTCTTTTAATTATCAGACAAAACACATTTTACAGAATTGCAAGACAAAGAAAACTAAATTTTAAGATAGTGTCCAATGAAGTTTCCTCAGCTTTAATTGGCGTGTTGTTAGACTGCCAGTTAAATCTGGTAATCTAACAAAGGAAAGGCAGGAAAATACTTTAATCTTTAGGAATTTTCATTTCCTTATTTAAAAAGAAAAAAAAAAAGAAGCTTAATAGAGAAAAATGTACATTTTAATCAACTAATGGAATAAATGTTACTGTGTAGTAAACCAGCCCATTTGACTTATCTACTTATATTTCTTCATTTTTACAGCCTATGTATTTACTTATTGATTATTTGTATATGAAACTTTGTCCTAAATGGTAATTCATTCACAGTAGACTAAAGACCCATTTAAAAACATGACCTAACCAATGTGAAGCACCTGCGTTTACTTCCACATTCAGCTAGCTTAACATACACTTAAATAATAATTATATTGTACATTAAATATTAGTTATACGAGTTAAACGAAAGCAGCTTTACACTGTTACTCGGCGTGTTTTGGTGCTGAGAATAATGGCCGCCCTCGTCCTCCTCACACACTGCACAAGGAAAAATATACTCGTACTTACGCCAAATCCGTGTTTTCGATGACAAACTTGACATTTTCGTCTGTCAGCTCTGTGATCTTTACCGTTGGCTGGTTAGCATACGGCATTACTGAAGCTAAATGAAGCTAAACTAGACGTTTCACTATCAACACACTTCACACTACCGCTGCTTCTGCTTGAAGACCTCCACGGAAATATTTACGAGGCGCTGATTGGCCTCGAGATGTAAACGCGTACAGTGATTGGGTCGAAAGAGGCTCGAAGGCGGGTCTTCTTTTAACCACCGGGTTACAGACGACGGTAGCTCCCTTTTCAAAACAAAAGCACAAACTCTCAAGTTTGACTTGCTCGCAAACACTATCTGCATATTCCTTTTCAGGCAAGAACTTTATTGTCTCACATTAATCTAAAACAAATATTTCAAGCGTTTAGACTGGTGGGCAAACCAAGACATTAACAGACAATGTATTGACGTTTCAAAATTGCTTTTTCATTGTAATACAGTTAGACCAATTACAATTAATGCAAACGTCCCAAATCAGACACTTTAAAGTCTCTATATACAAAAGTTTAACTGCAGAACATTTCAAATCATTCTGGTGGCACAGGGTTTTCGCTCTAGTAAAATATAGTGACTTTGACCTGAAACGTAGTTCTTTAGTGGGAAACTAAAGAACTGAAGACAAACCAAAAAGAAAAAAGTTAAATATACAATTACTATTTTATTGAACTTTCACTTGATTCAACAACTAAATTACAGATCTGTGTCCTTCTGTACAAAGGAAAAAATGATCTGAGCAGGAGAGTGAAAGGATCAGCGGGTGAGAGTTTCTGCAGGTGATCAGAAACAAATTTGCTCCTTCTATTGTTTATTAACAGCCATAATCCAATATTTCAGAGTTCTGCTCATCATGTGGACGGTCGGGATCGGTGCTTCATCTTCTCTGGTTCAATCCTGTGAGGTTCTTCAGCTGTGAAAAAGAGGCGTGCAGACATTAATGAACACAGTTTCCTTCAAAATGCAGATTCTGTCAAACTTCAGGATGTTAGTAAGATGGTACTTCAAATTTATGACATTTATTCTAACTGAGTGAATCTTTCTCAGTACAAAATGAGTGCATTACACAGAGTGTGATGTGCTTCTGAGGTAAGAACGTGAGAGTTAAGAGCACAGATCTAAGAAGAGGGTGAAGACTTAAGTATCTCCGCTAATCCTGTGGCAGAAGTTATGAGAAGAGTGAATTTAAATGGTGAATATAACACAAAAGACTCACTGTAACAGCAGCTCCCATGAGTCCCTGCACCACTGCTTCACCTGTTGACTGCACCTACACATCAAAGTGGAACATACAGCTTACACATGGCTGAAGAACAGGTTCAGGTGTCACATAAAGACTCATTTTTTACATGATTTCTCTTAAAACGCTAAATCTCAGGTCATTTATTTGTTATTATCGTTGCTGGGTGATGCTGCAAAGCGATTAAAGATGTGCTTCTGCAAAAACATTCAAAAGAAGTCAGGAGTGAGTCTTTAACAATGTTTCACTCTCTACCTGTTTGGCTGTGGTGGCCATGTTGACTACATCTTGGATGCGGTTATCGAGGAAGGCCCAGGTGTCCTGGTAGTCTGGAGAGGAATCCTGAATCATCACCAGCTCTGTGGTGTTGTAGATGCCCGTCAGCGCCGCACGCTTTGTATACCAATTCATCTACAACAGAAATGAGTCCTGCAGTTTTATTCCTAGTCCACATTTAGTTCAAGGTAAACTCAAAAGTAAAGTAAGTAAAACGGATGCAGTGGCACATAAAAGGTCAGCTTTAAAGAAGAGCACACAGGAGACTGCACCAGAAAACAGTGCTGTGCAAAAGCCTTGAACTGCCACTCATTTCTTTAGATTTTGCCAGGAAAATGATTGCACCGATTTATCGCAACATGCAAACTTAAATGTAAATACAACAAGAGCCAACATGGGGCTGGTTAGTTAGCTACAGCTTAGACAATATGTATGTGATAGTGGTGATTTTGTCCTTGCACACAGTGTGAGAGCATGCATTGCCTGCAAATTTAAGCACGACTGGAGTTTGTGTTACAGCTGCAGGTGTCAATAGTTTTCCGAGGTTACACCTTTACTGAAACAAATCAAATATTACCAATTACTACAAATGTATCAATAAAAAAAAAAGTAAAACGATCACTCATGAGAAGGTCGTTAGCCCTCTTTTTCTCTTTGTTAGTCAAACAGTATCTGTGATATAATCTGCTGACTGGAGCGATCATTCACTGTTTTTATATAAATGCTCAAGTGGCACCTGCCATCCAATAAGAAACAAGTATTTTCAGTGCACCAGCAAGGACAAAGTGATGAGGTGTCGATAGGGGCAGTAACCTGTGAGGTGGCAGGTCGGATATTTTGAGGGTGGTGATGAAAGGGGGACAGGAAGCTATGAGGAGGAGAAGAAGAAGAAGAAGGGTGACAGGATCCACTCACGTCTGTGGATCGGTCTCCGGCGTAGTACCAGATGTCGTCCATCAGCGTGGAGAGGTGCTTCAGGCTGTCGGGGATGTTGTGGGGAAGCATCAGTAGGCTCATCGCCTGAGAAGACAATGTCAAGTAAAGCTTCCTGACCTGTGAGCACACTCAGAAGCTCATATTCTCAGTGTTCCATGCTGTACCTGTGGCCATGTTTCGATGTAGGGGATGTACATGCGCAGTCTGGTCTCTACAGCGTCTCTTATAAAATCTGCAGTCTTCTTTGGTCTGCAAGAGAAATCTGTCTTTACATCTTTCACATTTTTTCATATTACCTGTCCCGTTTAGTGTTTTATTTTCCAGCCTAAAGCGTAGGTGAGTAATCGACCTGAATTAAACCTGAGCTCAAGCTGAAGTCAGTCACTGCAAACCTCCAAACTTCATGTGGCCTTTAGATTAGCTCAAGAACAGTGCACAGAGAGCATTATTGAATATGTTTCCATGGCCGAGCAGCTGCATCCAAGCGTTAGATCACCAAGCACAATGCAAAGCATCAGATGTAGTAGTGTAAAGCACAACGGCACTGGACTCTTGAGCAGTTGAAACGTGTTCTCTGGAGAGATGAATTACATGTCTAGCAATCAGATGGATGAGTCTGGGTTAGCACACTGCAGACTGACAAGTACCGCTGTCCTGGCAACCGGCAAAGTGTAAAGTTTGGTGTAGGAGGGATTATAGTGTGGGAATGTTTTTCAGAATTGGGCTCGGCCTCTTATTTCCAGTGAAAGGAACTCTTAATGCTTCAACACATCAAAGGTTTTAGATAATGTCATGATCAAGTGCATCTGTTTGTGAAGGCAGAGAGCAAATACTTGTGACAATATAGTGTAGCTGAACTGCAAAGTGAGCTGCTGTGTATACATACTCAGCCTGGCCCAGCTGGACCTGATTGTGCTGTTCAGCCAGGATCTCCGTCAGCTGCGCATTGCACTGAGCGATGAAATGTAGGACCAGGTCTCCGGATCCTTTCTCGAACATACCGGTGGAAGCAGAAGACAAACCCAGACTCTGGTACAGACACAACAACCACAGCGTTAACGGTGCAGCTTACATACGAACACAGGGCTACACGATAAAGTCTTTGAACTACTCTCTCACCTCAGCACCAGCTGCGATAGCTTCCATCGACCAGCCGTGCAGAAGAACAAACTCCAGAGCGGCAGTCAGGATTCGAGCCTGAAGCTGCTCCTCTGTTTCATACTCCTCATCTTGCTCCCCGCTCTGATCCTGGTAACTTCACAAAGACAAACGGCAATGTGAGACCAAGTGTAGCTCTTCCACATCAGAAAGCATCTTGTAAAATTCCTGTTGAATGACAGAAGTGACTAATGTAACGATTACTGACCTGGTGTTTGGATTGGTAGACTGGTCGGCTGCCGGATCGGAAGCAGAAGCCGCTGTGTCCTGTTCAGCAGAGCGTGCCTGGTAGTGCTCATGGTAGGTGGTGGATGAGGAGGTTGAGGAGGGAGGCTTGTCAGATTTGGACTCATCCTGAAGCCTCAGCCCTGCACAGTGGAAGCCTCGTCTCAGACTGCCGCACTGAGGGTTTGTTGCTGTTGGTGCAGCCACCACTGGAGCATACAAATATATGGATTTACTTTCACAGATTCATTTTTAATACGGTGTACTTGTTTATTTCTCGTAATAATCGTGCTGTATCGAATCTCTATCGCCTGTCACTTTCCTCCCAGTGTGTGCTGTTGTTGTTCACACTTTTACCAAACTTTTAGAAAAAGGATTAAATGTGACAAACCACAGTACAAAGTCTCACATTTACATTAAACTCAAGCTCAGTGAAACCTGTACAATTTATCACATGGTATGACTTTATTTCCCCATCTGTTACACTTAAGAGAAATATTGGTGAGAATGCTGCACTAAATACTTGTTATACTACACTCATTGGTCACTACATCAGCTGCTTGTTAAGGCAAATATCTAATCAGCCAATCATGTGTCAGCTATTCAGTGTATACTGGCATATAGACATGGTCAAGATGACCTGCTGAAGTTTAAACTGAGCATCAGAATGGGAGGAAAAATGACTTTGAAAGCGCCATGGTTGTTGTGAGAGAATATTTCAGAAACTGGTGACCTGCTGGGAATTTCCCCACACAACCATCTCTAGTTTACAGAGAACGGTCTGAAAAGAGAAAATATCCAGTGAAAAGCAGAAGAAGATCTCTGAACGCACAACGCTGGAAAAATGTTGCCTGGTCTGATGACTGTCGATCCTCGTCTCAACAGTTCAGGCTGGTGGTGGTTTAATAAGGTGGGGGAATTTCCCTGGCACGCTTCTTGAAACCAGCTGAACACCATTCAAACACCACAGCCTGAGTATTGTTGCTGACCATCTCCATATGACCATCTTCCGATGGCTGCTTCCAGCAGGATGAACACGTCACATCATCTCAAACTGGTTTCTTGAACATAAAAAGAGTTCACTGTACTCAAATGGCCTCCAGTCACCAGTCCTTTGGGATGTTGTAGAACACATTCATAGATGTGCAGCTGATAAATCTATAGTCTCGGTGTGATGCATTCATGTTAACATGGACCAAAATCTCAGAGGAAAGTTTCCAGCACCTTGCTGAATCTGAGCCATGAAGAATTAAAGCACCTCTGAAGGAGAAAGGGGGTCTAGCACAGTGCTAGCACCTAATAAAGTGACCTGTCAGTATAGGACATATGGACTTGGCTTTATTCGTTTATTCATTAACTATTATATATATTCTATATATTTTCTATCAAATTATTCCAATAAAATGTGGGCAAATTATAAAAAATACCCCAATATTCCAAAGTATTCCAACGGGAGCATTTTAAAATAGATTTGTTGTACTAACTCAGTATAAATTAGGCTGTTTAGGTATCAAACGATTGATAGCTTTCATAGTTTAAGTGTGTATTTCAGTGGAAAATGTGCGGTTTGGTACATTTTTTGCAAACTCTAATCAACAAATACTCAAGCTTTACCGTAAATACACTCCGATAGGAGACTGCACATGTGTGTTTCACAGAACTTGCAATGATAGAGGAAAAGGGAGCTATAATTAGGGGTTTCATTAGAAACGCTCAGACAGCTTGTATAACTGCAGACAGCACGCCCCCTCCCGGTGTAGGAACCTGTTTACGTGTTTACCCTGCAGTCACCTGTGAGGTCTGCCCGGCAGAGCCAACCCGGATACTACAAACCTCCTAATAGCCCCGTTTTTGGAGCTACACTCAGTTCCCTGTTGCTGATATCGTCCTTCATGATCACCTTTGGCGCGATCAGCTAACGCTAATAAGACGCTCGTTCTAAAGGCGCTGATAACACAGACACGCGTTCTGGAAAACGTGTCCCCGGCTCTCCGGTATAGTCACAAAACCAGCGGTGACCCCTTCTTACCGCTGCTCAGGCCACGGAGTGCCCTTCCAGCCCGCAGACCTCTTAGCAACGCCGCCATATCAGCTGCTCACAGCGGCGTCACCACCGCGCGACTCGCTCCCACAGCGGAAATCCAGTCAGAGCATTTCAAAATAAAACGCCTGAATTAGGTGTGTATGTTTGTGTGTGTGTGCGTTTTTCATGTCTGTGTCCCAGTAATCATAAACTTGGCCATTATTGTAGCTAATTTAAATATAGAGCATTTAATTTCCCAAACGCGAACACTCTTTTTCAGTGTTTATACATTTAAACTCAATCACGCCTGTAAATTACAATAAAACTAAGACCATCGAATTATGCAAAAAAAAAAAAGAAGTAATTTTAATAAATTTAATAGTTAAAAACTTTTCCATGAAAAGGTTTGAAAAATATATTTTGGATTATCCTGTATTAGGTAAGCATAAACCTATGCTTACCTAATACCTAATACCTAAATTAATTCATATAATTCATATATTTGCCTATTTGCACTACTCTGCCTGGTTTACACCCAATGTCATTTACCCATTATATTGTATATTGTATAGCTTTCTTGTTATATGTAAAATTGTATTGTATTTATTTAAATTTTTACTTTTTAATTATTTTACCTGCATTTTTTAATCACTCTTATATTTAAATGTTCATTTGCTATTTTATCTAGGGATTGAGAGTAACGTAGTTTCTATTCTCTGTATGTCCTGTACATGTGGCAGAATTGACAATAAAGTTGACTTTGACTTTGACTTTAAAGTCAAGTATACATAATGTATGAAGAACCTTCACACAGCCTGTGGGCCAGGCTCAAATACTTTACTTTGAAAATAGGAACCGGAAACACGCTCTGACGTAATTGTAGCTGAGTTTAACTGCCATCAGGACAGCAGGCAAGTCTTCGTGTAGGCTCGGTTTACGTTTTGTTTCTTTAGTTAATTCTTCCACCAGAGGCCTTTTAGGAGAGCAGTAGACAAACGTTAAGCCTTTGATACTGCGGGTAGCCGTGTACCGGGAGCTGCTTGGTGTTCACGCCGTCGTTAGGAGCTGATTACGAGCCTCTGCCGGTGCTGCGTCACGCTGTTTGCTCCTCGGAGCTCCTGAAACACCGGAGTCAAGAACAAACCTCTAATTATTGGTATATCACGTAAGCGGTTTTCTGTTTTGCAGACTTTAAACACATCTCTTCACTGTCACTTACAGAGCGACAGGGAACCTTCTAGACCTTTGTACGATAACATTAGAATAACATTTTGTAATTTGGCTCTGATTGGATCTTAAAGGCTTTTTATTACACTCATTTGTACTTCCACGTTTATATTAGAATAGCTTTACATTAAGATTCACACTTATATAAATACCCCTTTGATTTGATTTTTACTGTGATTTTTACTTTAACTAATAATTAGTTAATGTAAGAAAACATGCCTTTCATGTATATTGATAATGTGTTTTTAGGAAATCTCGAATGATATTGTGCCCATCTTTGAAGCACTTTGGGTCAGCTTCTGTTCTTCAAATGTTCTGTAGGATATGAATAAAATAAACGTTACAGTCAATACAAAAAATTTCAGACATGTTTCACAGTGCAGGTTTGAGGTATGCGGCCCAGGACAGATCCCCTAAAGCTTCCTCAACATCATCTACCGCTGAGTAATTACATGTCTGAGAGGATGGTGTGTCATATATGAGTGCTTGAACACAATATGAGGTACCTGTGCTTTTGGTAAATACACCTTTAAAGCTCACAGAACATGTGGAAAGACAGAGATGGCAGTTTAAAACAATTCCCACATAGTCCAGTGGAGCCATGTTCCAAAAGACTTGAAGCTTTGACAGCTGCCAAAGAGGCTTCTGCAGAATACTGAATCAAGACTGTGTAAGTGGGAGTGGAGTTGAGCACTGGATGAATCTGTTGTGTCTTAATGTTACAGACATGCCAGTTTGGCCTTTCTTGCTGCCTGGCTGGTTCATCAAGTTACAGACCTTGGGTTGAAATTTTACAACCTCCACAGACACCAAAGCTGCAGTTTCTTTTCATTATTGTTTCCACTGCTGCTTGTTTCTAATGAACAGCTTAGCTTCGACCCGGCTGCTGTTTACAGAGTCAGAGAGTCTACACAATAGCAGGAAGAAAGAGTTCACTTGCTGTTGATTTTCCCAGAACAAGAATTACAAAATTTTTTTTTTTGTTTTTGTGCAAGTACATGTGGGATTTATGTTGTCATGGTGGAGGCCACAGCAGCAAAAGGATGGAATGCTGCAGTAGTCATTACCTACACCTTCAAACACACAAACTTTGATGCTGCACTTTCAGGTATAAAAACTTGAGTTCACTTCCTCCAGGAAATCATGGCAGACCTTGGCATCAGAGCAGGAGACAAAGTGGTGCTGGTGTGGGCTCAGCCTTCAACACCTACAGCCCTGAAGCAGTACGCAGAGGAGCTGGGAGCGGTCGTCGGTCCGGATGGCAGAGTGGCGGTGGAGAACATGGACAGGCTGCTGCTGTGTGAGTTCACCTGATCATTTCTTTTTAACACATGCTCTGACTTAACCTCTTAAGTAGGGATGGGTATCGTTTAGGTTTTATCCGATACCGGTGCCAAATCGGTACTTTTGAAACGATGCCGGTGCTTAAACGGTGCTCAAACCGGTGCTTAAAGAATGGAGAACACAAACTTTGTCCAAAAACCTCTCATGTTCAGCTGTTTTGTTGTTGTTTTTTGTAAAAAGATAACAATGTTAGCCTTTTCTGCAGCTATGGGGCATATATGGTATCACTCTTGGCTGGAAGCAGTGCTTAAACAATGGAAAAAAAACACAAACTTTGTCCTAAACCTCTCATGTTCAGCTGTTTCCCACTTTTTCTTTGGTCATTTTAGCCTTTTTGTCCAGGGTGAAGGGAGCATCTGCCATCAAACAAGAAGACAGCCGCATGTAGCTATGATGATGTTTGCTAGTTCACCTTACATGCATTAATGTAATAACGTGGTTAGCCTACTCAACGTAAATTACACACGGACAACATTAAGCGACTCACGCAGAGAAGAACGGCTGCTGCATCATCATCCTCATCATTTCTGCTACACTGGCAGGGCTAGGGGCCAGGACTCTATTCTTCGGGTTTTTGGGGGATGTTGCTCCGGTCCGATAACTGGCAACCCACCCAACGTGCACGGTGTGAGGTCTCGCAGCAAGCTATCAAATACGGCGCATTTCTCGGCTTTTAAAAAAAAAACGCTATGCGTCGCCAGGTGTTTCATCAGATTCGAGGTGTTACCTCCTTTGACAGTATCACAGTATCAGCTTAAAGCACTTGTTGCTGCTGAGTTTGCATATTTTACTGTGAAGTACAGCCAGACTTTGACCGCTTCGCCTTGGACATTTTTAATCTGTAGCTCTGCTCTAACTGAACGTACGTACCTGGCCCCGCCTACTATTCTGGGAAACGTAAAATGATTGGCTAGAATCTAAAGTGTGTCACAGCTCAGGAAAAAAAAAGCACCGAAATAAAGCACCGAAATGTGCGCTGCTTTTCGGTCTGGTTACTACAGTTTATGTCCGGTACCCATCCCTACTCTTAAGGAAAACTGCTGAAACAGCAGCTGTAGACTGCCATCATCACCACAATCAACACGCGTTAAATTCCCCTGCATCTCTGTCATGAGTTCATGTGTGCAAATGTCTGAAAATAGTCACAATTACAGTACTTATCGTAACTGCTACTTAACTACTCAGGAGAACAGCTGTTAAAGAGAGATGCTTTCTGAGGTGGCGGGAATTTAAAATGCACTTCATGTACCTGGTGCACACAGATCTGCCTGTAAGAGGTTATTGATGAAACTTGCAAATGAATATTTCTGAGTCGACAGAACTTTAAGACAAAGGAAACTCGAATTCACAAAGAATATCCATTTTCTTCCAGTGCACCTCCACACTGGGTCTTATGGTTAACCCACCTCCTACGTCTCACTTTGAACCCCTGCTCCACTGTGAAATACTTTAGTTTGCAGTTCAGAACATAGCGTATTTCACATTAATTGTCTCCTCCTGTCCTCTCCTCAGCCTCTCACGCAGCCTCCACCTTCAACTGGGTGCTCTCTTGCCTTCTGGCTGACAGCTCCTCCATCCACACTTCAGAGACTCTAGCAGAGATAGCCAGAGTGCTCAAACCTGGAGGGCAGCTGGTCCTTGATGAACCAGTTACAGGTAAGAGACAGTAGTCCATTCATCCATTTGCTGCTGGAAGATAAAAAAGATACTCCAGATGTCCCACTTAGCAGCTCCTCCTGAGGGATGCTGAGATGTTACGGAGTCTCATGAGAGTCTGGATCAGAGTGTTCTTGACCCTGTGATCTAGTGTGCATTTTTTTCACATCTGAACCAATCACTGTTCAGTTATTAAAAGGTTAAACACCTCCTGAAGTAGGAGCTAAGAGACCCCAAAAAAACAGGGTTCCAAGAAATCTTCTAGTACCTAATTCCTGCAGTCATAAGAGCTGTGAAAAGGTTCCTGTGCCCCTGGAACTGGGGCATTTTAAGGAGCTCCAGCATTACTCTAACCTCTCCAAAGGTTGATTCTGTTCATCTGGATGCAGCGTTTTGTGGGAGAAACGTTTCGTCACTCATCCAAGTGACTTCTTCAGTGTCAGCTGACTGCAGGTTTCCAATCGTATAAACAGTACATTTGCATAATGACTGAAACCAGCCCACTGAAGGAACAATGGGCTGGGAGGTCAGTTCCTTAATCTTAATTATGCAAATTCTCATGACCATTGATCAACATTAACAACAAACCATTACTCTGACCGCTCTCTGGAGCCTGCTACTCGTCCCGGCAGGTGACTTGTAAGGATGACAGGTGAAATAGTAACCACTGGCAATGCAAAGTGTTCAGGTATCAAGTTAATCTCACTTCAGCAGCATGACTGACGTGACTTTGAATGAGAGTGAAGGACACTGTTGTTTGACACGTGATACAAGAGTGGCTTAAGTGTGCACTGTTACAGTGGAAACGCATTATCGACAGCAGTTTAGGTGTATTTATCCTCTGTGTCGATGTGTTTTAATGTGCTGAGTATATCTGTGTTACAGAATCAGAAGGACA